CATTTTTTTTACGTTTCTTTCGCTGGCGAATGCTTTTGATGTTACACACACGCAGGCACTTACTATAACGCACACAAGCGCAAATGTCGCACCTCGCCTCGCCGTCCCACACCTCGCCAGTGACGCCGAACCATGTGAGATGTTTAGTTACAAAATTTTATGGGTTTTTTCCCTTTTCGCGTGGCGGCCAATGCCTTTTTTTGTTTTTATTATTTTTTTCTCCCGTTTTTGTGTCTCTCATTTTTAATACTCGGACTATTTAATTTAGCGGCATAAAAGTAGTGACGTTTTGTGCACTGAAAATCAAGATCAAAATAAAAATGAAAATAGGATTGCAAAACTTGTTGGTTGACCACGTGTTTGGAGACTCGTCCATGCTATTGCTTTGCTTATGGCGTTTTCGTTTCTACAAAAAATGTTGCCTTCTTATCGCTCTCTTCTTAGTGTTCGTGCGTAGAGAGCAAAGAGAAGGTTGCATTTTTCGGTAGAAATGAAATCGGCATTAACAAAATAAAAAAATTAAACAATATCAAAAGATAAAAACACAAATTACTCGGTTATTTTTGTGTAAACATAAAAGACTTTCAGTGTGGTTGGCTTCTCGGTGCGTCGTTAACAGCGTCCGCATGTGATAAGCAGCAAAATGTTGGGTAGTTGGAGCGCCAATAGCTGTGAATCATTTCAAAGCATGTTTTTTCCAAGGTTTTTTAAGTTTTTCGAACGCATTTCTTTTATTTTTCCTCTAAATAAATCTAATCCTTTCTTTTCAAAATTAATCATTTTTGACATTCAAAATGCGTAGAAAATCAATGTACTGTGTTGATTGTCTATAGCGGATAAAGTGTTTTCTTTGTGAGTGGAATCGTTCAATGTGAACACTTTTGTGGCTACAGTTGCGGACCTGATGATTGCAGTGCATAATAAACCTTTTCCATGTTCTCAGGAACGGACTCCAGAGCACTGTAGCACATCCTTTGAAGTATACTTAACTCTTGCAGTAATGATAATGCAGAATTCTGAATCTGAAGGGGAAAAGCCAATAGTATAGTAGACCCTAACAAGCAGCAGACTGCATGTCTTTGACTCGTCTGGCCCATAGATAGCTCTGGAATTTTTATAAATGCTTATAAGAAATGCGCCGATATACTCCGATCCGGATTTAATTTTGTATTTGCACTTCGTACCCCCTAAATATTATAAATTATTTGAAGTTAATCGTTAGTCCTTTGTAAGCCTGTTAACTGCTTTATCCTCTTGAACTAGGCGCTAAGCAAATATGTAAATATTCTCCTGTCATAGTGTTTCTAATTTTTTTTTGAAGTATACTGTAGTGGCTTGAAAATAATATTTATATACATAGTTTTGATACGCCCTTTTGATTTTAATACTATTTCTCTCATCTGTTTTCTTGTTTTCAGCACAGTCATAATGGAGCCGTACCCACAAATGCGGTGTATATAAGTTAAGTTCGGATGGGGAAAATAAAAGAATTAAAAAGAAAAAATAAAACACCGGAAACATTCCAAAAGAATTTACCCAGATAACAAGTTGCATGTGTTAATACACTTTTCCCGTCCTGTTCTAATATTTTTTTTTATTCGATTATAAAAACGAAATTCTCACCAAGACTGAAAAAACGGGCTGATTCGCAGCGTATAAAGGGAAAAATCAGAAAGCGCCAAACTCGACCAAGCCTCATTTCCTCATAGCACTTAATGGTACACATTTTACTTTCTATTCAACCCACATACTTTTATGTTTTTGTGATTTTCGAGTTTGAAACTTGTTGCTAAAATATGCTAAATACATACGCTGTCTCTCTCTCTCCCTCTAAAAAGCAACCACCTTAAAAAGGGCAGGCAACACATCCAAAAAAAAAAAAAAAAAACAAAAAACATTGAGAGTTTTATTTCCTACTCATTATCATCATCGTCAATTTTTTATCTGCAAAGCTCTTGGTTGTGTTTCCCATTCGTTTATGGCGCGCACGCGGCTGCCAACAACGTTGACCGAAGCAGCCAAACAAACGGCTCTTTGTTTAGCAGCGAGGTAGTGAGTAAAAAAATGCGAAAAAAGTGGGTGAGCTAGGAAAAAAAACGAATGAGCGCGTAAATGCGATTTGAGTAAAGGCAAAGACTGCAAGACAACTAAAAATGCCGGTATTTGATTGTAGTGGTTTGTTTGCTCAACGAAATAAAGAGGCGTCTGACGCCGACGATGTCAGAAAATGTAAATATTAACAGGCCACCGCCGAGGTACTACCTCAAGCGGGCAGTAATCATATGATTTGGTGATGAAAGATGGTAAAAGCGTAGATGAAAGACGATATAAAGGAGATAGGGTGAAAAAGTTTTGTGTTTTTGGTTTTTTTCTTTGCTTGATGTGTGCCAAAGCACTTTTTTGATTTCTTCAGGAGACCCGCTCGTGATTGGTATCAGTAGAAAAGAGAAAAATTTTCGAGGGTTATGCATATCTGTGAACTTTTGACGAAAAATTGTGCTTTCTGTAGGTTGGATTATAGACAGAAAAAAGAAACTTCCAATAAAAAATTTTTAATTTTTATTTAACGTTCATTAAGATATCATCTTCAACTATTCCTACCAACGATTAAAATCGAAAGTACCATATGAGAACTTAACTAATTATTGCTTTGAAGAGAAAATTATCTCATTCGAGAGAAATTGTTTTGTGGAAAGTCCACAGATATGTATGCCTGCGGAAAAAAAAAACAGAGAAACAATTTATAGCCTTTATACACACCCTTGGTTGTGGTTGGTTAAAAATAAATTGGAAAGAACAGCGATAGTTAACACCAAGGTTACGGGGGATAAGAAAGCCTGTGCTATATGACCTAATTGTTCCCCAATTCTAAAAAGAAGTCAGATGAGCAGTTTTTTATTCGGCTCATTTGCCAAATCAGAACTTTCTCCTTTTGTGTGAAATCACTATGCGAGTAATAACCTGGGAAATTAACTCTCCAATGAGTTATGTATGTAGAACCATTATTTCAGTGACGCTTCATTGTTTAAATTTAACCCTTTTGATCAAAATTTTGCAGGATGTAAATACAAACATAATTTTTGCACATACATTGCAGGAAAAAAGTATCTACACCGCGAATTTTTTGTTTTTTTTTTGTTCCGCTGATTTTTTATAAAAATGTGCTTCATACTGCAATAAAAACAAAAATAATATAATTTCTAAAATATGTGCAAAACTCAGGATGGTTCAATACATTTGCATACAGATTTGCAATTTGTTAATAAAATTTTTTAGAATTTTTTCGAGTATGCAGTTTTTTTCTTAAATTAAGTTTTAGTAGTCGAAAATAGTGGAATTTTTTCACGCATTTTCTTTCATAAATAAAATTTCTAAAATACTTTGTATGGAAGAAATGTGCAACACCTCCGACAAAAATATTTTTAAAAATCAATTTAATGGGCTACAAATCTTGATACCCAAAAATTCTAGAAATATATATAAACAGCTGCAAATCTATATGCAGATTTATTCAACTTTCCTTGTAAATTCAAAAAAAAAAGCTTTGTATCTCTTATTTACAACGATCGTTATCGATGCTTTGAGCTGGGATGAACAGTGTCTCAAACAAATGACCATGTGTTAATTTTTTTAAATATTTATATTTTTCTATAAAAATTATTTCCAAGCTTTAAAAAAAACCATATTAATAAGAGTTCCAAACTTTATAAAAAGTTTAAGAAAATTCAACAAATTTTCATCAAAGTTTTTATAACCCATACAATTTAATCTTATGAAGTGCAAGTTTCAACCTGCTAAAAAATCGCGTTGATTGTTGAGAATTTTTTTGAGACTGCTTATATAACAAGTGAAATTTACAAACACGGGTTGATTTTTTGAAATTTTGTTTCGAACGGTCTCCCGCATTTTACTTCATACGAAATCCATGCTTATATGGAAATACATAAGTGCAAAAGTCTTAAATTTTTTATAAAGCTTGGACAATATTTTTTAAAGAGAAATAACAAGAAAAAAATTAACTCGAATAGTATTCTGCCTTAGCCCGAAAAAAATTTCACCCGGAAATCTGTATTTCGCCCATAGTAAATGCATGGAAACCAAACGTAAAAAGTGAACAGGTTCGGGGAAAATTAAACTCATGATAAAAGTGATTACGAATATTCAAAAAAATAAAAAATAAAAATAAAAAATAAAGTTTGAATCACTGAAAGTGTTCCAATAGAGTTTTATAGTCGGATATATTTGATCCATTTGCATTTATCCCACGTGAATCGGTTAATTACCAACGGGAATAAGTCAGCATTTTTCCGATATGCCAAATTTGATGCAATTCAACAGACCTCCTTTGAACGAACCGAACTGCATCAAAATTGAAAAAATTATGACTGACTGAAAATCAGCCTTATCATGAGTTTGATTTCGCCCGAACCGGTTCACTTTTCACTTTTCGATTCCATGTATTTACTATGGGCTGATGAACAATTTTCGGGTGGATTTTTTTTTTCGGGCGAAACTCCGGATAAGTCCGATTGATTTGTAATGCAGTGACATAACTCCTCCACTCGACGTTATCTTCATGAAATTTATTCACTCATTTAGCTGTTTTTTTTTTTTGAACTTTTCAAATAAAGCAGAGTTGCGAAATTTGCATTTTGATTAATTTTACTTCTGTATGTGCGATTTGATTTTAGGTGGTGGTCGTGATCTACAAACCGCAGTTATATACGCTAAAAACAGCAACAGTATCAGCGGCAGCAGCAGTAGCAGCAGTAACAACAACAACAAAACCATTAACAATAATAATAAATCATTTACAACAACTAATCAAACACTGCGTACAAATAGCGTCACTAACGCAACAACAGCAACAGTAACAAAGCCAACAACAATAGGCAGTATTTCATTTGTGAATAATAATAACAACAACAATATGCCGAAAAAGAGTGCAGCAGCAGCAGCAGCAGCACCGGCAGGTAAGACAGTGGGCGAGATACGTATTTGTTGAAATAAAAATTAAAAACAGAACTGTAGTTAAAATTGAAGCGCATGCTAATGAATAAACTAAAAAATATGTTCGAACCTAAAGCGGGCGTTCACAGTTTGACGGTATATTTATTGCTGTAACTTTGCAATAGTTTTCTTACCATAGCAAAAGCTATATATGTATATATTTTTTAATTCAATTAATTTCTCTCCTTGAGAGAGAAAATATTAAAAAGTATTAAGAATTTTGCTGTTAAGAGTGTTCTGCAGGAAGAATACGCGAGTACACTTCTTAATGTCAGTTTGTTCCCTCAATTTCTCCTCCTTTGCAAGTTTTTTTGCCTACGACAACGCAATTTTGGATAATTTTGAAAACGGGGACACTCTTTTTATAATATACCGATTTTATAACAATTGCTTTCTGGTGGCTATCGCCTATTCAAATCAGCTGTTCATTTAATATCGCATATTGCAAAGTTACAATTCTATAATTAAACCCGCTCAGACTGTGTATACACCTCTACTGTGTCGCTGGTGCATAATGTAATTTATTGTCGTCTTTTTTTTGTTTTTGTTTCTCTTACACGCCTGCAATCAATTAACTAACCAATCAACCAATCGCGTAACTAACCAACTAATTAACTATGTAATAAAAATAAATCTAACCAATCAATCAAACCTGATAAAAAATTCCAACAATCAACAAATGCATTTTCAATGCCTGAAGCTATCGGCATGTCCAACTATCCGAGCAGTTCTGCTGCCGCTGCAGCAGCAGCCGCTGCCTCTGCGGCCGCCGGCTATACTGGTTTGCCCTCACTGCCATTCAGCACCAGCCAGCTGATGAATATGGCCGCTTTTGCTATGGCGAGCGGCGCTGGCGGCAATGGTGGCGCTGGTGGTGGTCGTGGTAGTGGCATTGGTATCGGCGCTGGTCCTGGTGGCCTTGGCAGTGCTGCTGGTAGCTTGAGCGCGCTGTTGGCGGCTGGTGCTGGTCTCGGCATGCCCGGCGGACTTGCCACACTACCCAGCGCCACGCTCGCTACCAACACAGCTGCTCTGGCAGCAGCCGCCGGCGGTGCGGGTGTACTGGGTGGCGGCGGCGGCGGCGGCGGCGGCGGCGGCGGTCCGGGTAATTACTATCAAGCAAGTTCGAATCTGAATATGGCAGCGTCTTTATTGGCGCAGAGTAAGTCGAGTAATGTTGGTAACAAACAACGTTTTTCTTCCTCAACTGCTAGTTAAGATGTGCTACTCACATACGTAGCTCCATATGTATGCTGTAGAAATTCAAAAAAATTTACAAATTTTTTGGAAAAAATAAGTATGATTAGCGTTAAAGTATTTTTAGGTGCTTCTTAAAAATGTTTTGGAAATTTGTTTTGAAAAACTAATTGGAAAACCATTTTTCACAAAAAAATAAATAATTTTGCTCGAATTGGCAGTAGAGAATTTGCATGTTTTTAGAAACAAACAAACAAATCCTTTTTGACTCATTAACAATAAAATATTAAATACTAAAAATATGGAAAATCAAAACATGCCACCACACTTTACCAACAATTACTCACCACTTACACTGCCTAGAATAAAAAAAAAACAACAACAACAATTACATAGAATACCAACGCCAGCATAATTTATATATTTTCCAAAATTCAATTACACTACTTTTAGTGCAATATTTTACATTTAATTTTCTACAAAAAGTGTTTACTTCATTTGCCTTTTAAAATCTTATTTATTTAGCTATTAAGATATACTTATTAGTCTTCGTATTTGCACATCATCTTTCACCCATTTTCGTATATCCCTTCTCTCACCCTTTTCTAGTGAGCATGGGTCTTGGTGGCTTCGATACAGCGCCATCCACCGCAACGAGCATGTCAGCCAGCAGTGCTAATGCAGCAGCAGCGGTAGCGACGCCACAAGTGAAAACTAACGCGATGATTATGCAGAAGATTCAAGCTTTGGTAGCGGCTAATCCTTCCTTTCTCACCAGCGGCATACCAAATCAGCTGCTGGCGCAGCTTTTCATGCAACCAATGAAGGTAAGGAAACAAAATGCGAGTAATTTGAAAATTATTAAATTAAAATTTTGTCTCCTTAACTTGACTCGCCTTGCAGATGGCGCCTGCCACCGTCACTGCCGCGCCACCTGAAGAGGAGGAAGTTGATTACGAAGAAATGGGTGTTGCTGAGACTTACGCCGAGTATTGGCCTGCGAAATGTGAGTGTACATGTGTTAAATTACAAGTAAATTCACTTAATAAAGACTTAAAATTTTCTAATCACCTATAAATTTAGTGAAACTTGGTAAAAAACATCCCGATCCAGTTGTGGAGACCGCTTCACTTTCCTCCGTCGAACCCTGTGATGTTTACTACAAACTCGCCATTCCAGCAGATACTATAAATAGCGGTTACTTGAGCGCCTTGCAGCTGGAATCGATCACCTACGCCTCGCAGGCGCACGATCACATGCTGCCAGATGGCTCTCGCGCAGGTTTTCTGATTGGTAAGTGCGTTTTTATTGCCGTTTTGTGTGGAAATAGTCAAAATGCGCTGCTTTTTCTTGATCTGCAGGCGATGGCGCTGGTGTTGGCAAAGGTCGCACCATTGCCGGCATCATTTACGAGAACTACTTGAAGGGACGCAAGAAGGCGCTCTGGATTTCTGTTTCCAATGACTTGAAGTACGACGCCGAGCGCGATTTGCAGGATATAGGCGCGAGCAAAATTGTAGTGCACGCGCTGAATAAGGTGAGCATGTGAACTGCTTTTCATTAACTTGACTTACATTAATCGCTATTTCCTTTCACGCCGCCAGTTCAAATACGCCAAAATATCGTCTGACGTTAATAACAATTGCAAGCGCGGCGTCATCTTCAGCACATATTCCGCACTAATTGGCGAATCTAACAATAAGACTGGCAAATATAAATCACGCTTAAAACAGTTGCTGCAGTGGTGCGGCGAAGACTTTGATGGGCTCATTATTTTCGATGAGTGTCACAAGGCTAAGAATTTGTGCCCCGTCGGCTCGGGCAAGCCCACCAAGACTGGTCAAACAGTTTTGGAGCTGCAGAACAAATTGCCAAAAGCGCGAGTCGTCTATGCTTCGGCGACGGGCGCTTCGGAGCCGAAGAATATGGCGTATATGGTGCGCTTGGGGCTTTGGGGACAAGGCTCGGCATTCCCGAACTTTAATGACTTCATTATGGCCGTAGAGAAGCGGTAAGAAATATGGCATTTTTGTTTTATATTCATGGAATTAGACGACGTTTTTTTTTTTTGCTCGATTTCAGCGGCGTTGGAGCTATGGAAATTGTAGCAATGGACATGAAATTGCGTGGTATGTACATAGCGCGCCAACTTAGTTTTCACGGCGTGACATTCAAAATTGATGAGGTGGCGCTGTCCAAGGAGTTCCGCAAGGTCTACGATCAGTCTGTGGAGTTGGTAAGTTTAAACGAGCGTTTGTTTTATTTTTATTATTTTTTCTTAAAATTATCCTTATAGTGGGTTGAAGCCATGCAGAAGTTTACTGAAGCCGCTGAACTTATTGACGCAGAAAGTCGCATGAAAAAAACAATGTGGGGACAGTTTTGGTCATCGCATCAACGCTTCTTCAAGTATCTCTGCATTGCGGCTAAGGTCAATCATGCGGTACAAGTGGCGCGCGAGGCTATTAAATACGGCAAATGCGTTGTCATAGGTCTACAATCGACGGGAGAGGCTCGAACGCTGGAGCAACTGGAGAGAGATGAGGGAGAACTGACTGATTTCGTGTCCACAGCAAAGTAAATAAGAAAACAAGAAAACAGATTCTAAAAATTAGAAAGTGTTATTTCCATTCCATTCCTTCCCTTTCATTCATAAAATATAATTCTAACCGCTGAAGTTAGGAGTGCACTTATTTCTAACCACACTGTCTTTCCTCTAGGGGCGTTTTTCAATCACTAGTGGAGAAGCACTTTCCTGCACCTGATCGCAACCGCATCAATCGCATACTCGGCCTGGGCGGCTACGGCGAAGACAAGAAATCGCCTATCCAAAGCATAATCGAGGAGGTAACCGGCAGGCGCGAGGCTAGCGTCAAAGATGAACCCTGCTCCTCGTCATCGAGCACCGCAGGCAGCAAGCGTAAAGCGTCGCGACAAGAGTTGCGCACAAAGAAATCGCGAAAAAATTCCTGGAATGATTCTGATGATGATTCACAGCAGGAATCGGAAGACAGTGATTACAAAATGTCCAACTCCGAGTCTGAGGAATCTGATGCGGGCGCACGTTCTGACAGCTGCGAATCCTCCGACTTCAATCCATTCTTTAGCGGATCGGATAGTGATAATGATCCATGGGTGGCACGTTCGAAGAAAAAGGCGAAGAAGAAGGCCAAGCCGAAGGAGCAAGCTGGTGGTGGTAGTAGCAACAATAGTGCCGCCGCAGCTAGCAGCGCCACCGCAACTGGCAGTGCCGCTAACAATGGTGCACTTCCTGCTGCTATCAGTACAGTGGCGCCCAAGCGCAAAGGTTTGTTGAAGAAATCTTCAAAAAAAGAAATACGGTAATATCCTTTCTCTTTTACACGACTTCAGGTCCAGTCTCCACACAAGATCGCATACAAGACCTGCTACAGAAGAAACAAGAACTAAAGGGTACCGTCACGCAGATCGGTGTCAATGGCATCAAGCTAAACTATGGTCCACCGCCCAAAGACGCCATTGAGCGCGCCTGCAGCATGAAGGAAGAACTGTTGCGTAAAATTGAGCTACTCGGCGAGCGTCTCCCACCGAACACACTAGACCAGCTGATCGATGAGCTAGGCGGCCCCGACAATGTCGCCGAGATGACGGGCCGCAAGGGTCGCGTGGTGCAGTCAGACGACGGTTCCATACAGTATGAGTCACGTTCCGAGCAGGATGTGCCACTTGAGACGCTCAACATCACCGAAAAGCAGCGCTTTATGAACGGCGAAAAGGATGTGGCTATCATATCAGAGGCGGCATCCAGCGGTATTTCGCTGCAGAGCGATCGGCGCGTGCGCAATCAGCGCCGACGCGTACACATCACGCTCGAGCTGCCTTGGTCAGCCGATCGCGCAATACAGCAGTTTGGACGTACACATCGTTCCAATCAAGTGAATGCACCCGAGTACATATTCTTGATTTCTGACTTGGCTGGTGAGCGCCGTTTCGCATCAACGGTCGCGAAGCGTTTGGAGTCGCTTGGGGCGCTTACGCATGGCGATCGGCGCGCAACCGAGACGCGTGACTTGTCGCAGTTCAATATAGACAACAAATATGGGCGCACGGCACTGGAGACTGTAATGAAGACGATTATGGGCTATGAGGCCCCGCTGGTGCCGCCACCTAACGACTACAAAGGCGACTTTTTCAAAGACGTTGCTGGCGCGCTGGTGGGCGTGGGCATTATCGTAAATAGTGAGACCAATCCGGGCGTCTTGAGTTTGGACAAAGAGTACAACAACATTTCGAAGTTCTTGAATCGCATACTGGGTATGCCAGTGGAGCTGCAGAATAGGCTATTCAAATACTTCACCGACACGTTGACGGCTATCATTAATCAAGCGAGACGGGGTGGTCGCTTTGACTTGGGCATTTTGGGTGGGTTGGCGCGCATTGTGATGGTTATTATAAGTATTTACATAATTTAACTGGTTTTGCAGATTTGGGCGCCGCAGGTGAAAATGTGACACGCATCAAACTAGTTCGCTTCATACGCAAACACGCTACCGGCAAAGCACCCGCTGAGCTGCATACAGTGCGCGTTGAGCGCGGCATGATCTGGCAGGAAGCAATTGACAAGTGAGTAGTAGTAACGTATACTGGCCAACGCAGCGTCCGTGGACTCAGCTGCCGAGTACCCAAATAAATTGAAAGACTAGTTTTCATAACCTTAATTTATGTTCCTTTGTTAAACGATATTCATACTTTTGCAGATGGGCCGATCTAATCAGCGAATATGAAGGCTTCTATGTGTCGCATCAGGTGCGCAACGGCAAACGCACTGCCATTTTGGCTGTGGAAATCGAAACGCCATCCACACAGCAGCAATCGAACAGCAAGAAAAAGGAGAAGGGTGTGAGCAAGAAAGATATGATGTTCCAGATTTATCGCCCCAATACGGGCCTACAAGTGCGTCACGAATCGTTGGCGGAGCTGGAGAAAAAGTACAAGAAGGTGCCCAGCGAGGAGGCGGAGCCGCATTGGACTCAACAGTACGACGCATCGGTGAACACCTGTTCGCACGCCTACTGGAATGGCAATTGCCGCAATGTTAATTTGGGCAATGAGTGTGAGGTGAGTGGTGGGGGTGTTAGTTCAAGGATCGGTTAATTTTCTTAAAACTAAAGCCCAGTTAGCCAAAACTTAATATATTGAATACAATCCTCTCTTGATTATCCTTGCGCCGCCTCTGAACAAACAAATTTCCTTACACCTATTTATTTCATTTCTAGGTTGGCTTGCGTCAACGGGTCTACAATGTGTTGGCTGGTTCGGTGCTCTCCGTTTGGACGCGTGTCGAGCAGGTATTGGCTATGCGCAATGCCAACAATAAAATGCAAGTGATACGGTTGAAAACCACCGAAGGTGAAAAGATTGTCGGTACGCTTATACCGAAATCATGTCATGAACTGCTGCTGCAAGATCTCAAATCTGATGCAGACCGTATTGAGGAAATGAAATTCTAAGTTAAATATCAGACGCGTAAAAAGCAACAAAAACAAGACCAACCAAACAGCGCAAAAGGCTTGAGTCATTTATCAAAAAAAAAGAAAAGCAGAAAAATGAGACAAAAACAAGAAATATATTACTATGTTTTCGTTTCCTTTACAATTAGTACGTAGTGAATAGACTGCAATTTGTTAGTTGTGGTGCGTCAGCGCAACTGCAGATATGCATACTATATATTTGCCGCCACCTGCTGGTGCGCGTGCGACTTGTCATTCTCTTATTCTGAACTGTAAATGTTATAAATTAATGCAAAACTTATTAATATAAAAAATGCAAAACGGACTAAATCAAGTGTATACACGTGCACATCCAGCTATGTGCATACTGATGTTTCCTTGTACACTCCCATTTGCTAATGTATAGTTCTACACATAAATGGTACATGTAAATGTGTATTTTTCGTGCGCATCGCAATGCCCTTACGAAGGACGTGTGCACGCATCTACTTAGGCTTAGTCTCATAATTAAATAGATACCTAATGTAACATCTATTATTATTACTATTATAATAATTATCATTACTCCTTATGTTTAATGCAAATTCATTTCTCCCACTTCCTCGCTGAAGTGAATTTGCAAAGAAAAGCCAAGTTTTTGCAAAGAAATATGATTCTATGGATTCATACAAATGAAAACGCTTATTAATGGACTTTTTTTTTGTTTTTGTAATACATCGTATTTAATTTTAAATTAAAAAAAAAAAACATTACAACTACAAACTACAATTTAATATACATACCTACATACATATGTATCTAAAATTATTGCTAATTAAAACAATAATACAACAAACTATAAACAAATAAATGCAAAAATAATATGAGAGCTATTTGCAGCTGATTTGTTTTTGAATAAAGCTATTTGATGGATTTTGAAAAGCGGAAGAACTTCTGAAATTTGTAAGCATCCAATTTTGATAAAATTATTCCTACGTCGCTTATAAGACCTTTTAGCAGTACTTGTTGAAGGCCCATCAATGCTGCTTGATATACTATTTAACCGTTAGCGCCTTAAGCTAAAAGCCGGTTCAAAGGCGTATCAACTACAGGTGATAGCCACGGTGCAGCGAACAAAGGTGGCGCCCACGGTATTCTATCATTCTTGGATAGAAGCCATGTCTTATGAGCACGCTTGTGTCTGTGAAACCTTTCAGAATACTCTGCAATCCTGGTATACAGGGTATACATGTACATGCGAATATGAATAGATAAAGAAGCTGTTGTTGACACAAGGAGCTCATACCAACGGTAAATAAATGTTGTTTTTGTACGATTGCTACAAGCTGTAGTTATTGAATCATGAAGCCGGTTATTGTCAGCAGCCTGGTTAGACAGACTTAGAGCCAACAATATAAGAGTAAACTCTCTGCGTATGTACACATTCTAATTCGCAAAACGATCGTACCATTTGATGCGAATGCGAATGTGTAAAATGATGCGATTCATTCGCATAACGAATGCGATTGCAAATATTCGCTACATCCCTGGTATCGACAACAGAAGACACCCTGTGCTGCGCAGGAATGTGCAATCGATTATCGTTTTGTACTTTCAACGCGCTCAGCTGATTGATGTTTTTAATTTATTTTAATTTTTTACGTAAACAGTAAAGCAACGCAAAGATGAATATATCGCGAAATTTCAAACTAAATTTTCTAAACAAGTCCATGAAATATGGACAAATGAATGAAAAATACCAGAAATCACTGGCGCAGCTGCGTCGAAAAACCACACATGCCACGGCAACAATTGGCGGGGACGGCCAGTACGGCCAAGATGGGAATACACAGTCCACCGAAGAACGCACCACCCACTTTGGGTTCAGAAAGGTGAAAGAAAGTGAAAAGGAACAGAAGGGTAAGTGGCTGCAAAATCTGCACCAAGAGTCTACAAATATTTCCCATTTCAGTACACAAAGTCTTCGAGGATGTTGCCAGCTCTTATGACCTCATGAACGATGTTATGTCGGTTGGCATACACCGCATATGGAAGGACATCTTCATGGATCGCTTAGGTCCTGTACATGGCATACGTCTGCTTGACATGGCTGGTGGTACGGGTGATATTGCGTTTCGTTATATGCGCCAACTTGCTGCACAAGCAAATCCATTGAATCGCGAAAGTCATGTCACCATCTCAGATATAAATCAACACATGTTGGAAGTAGGCAAGGAGCGCGCTAAACGGCTACTACTCACCGAAGAACATCTGCCAAATTTGAAAATCAATTGGCAACAAGCCGATGCAGAGCAATTGCCATTTGACGATACCAGCTATACGGCATATACAATCGCGTTTGGCATACGCAATTGCACGCACATTGACAAGGTGGGTATGGCGTAGGAGGGAGAAGGTGTTGGTGCGGTTAGCTATGGGTAGATGTGCAGCTTTTGAACTGACACCAAATGATCAATTGTGCAATTTTTCTTATTTGTTTTTGTTTTGGTAGGTATTGCGTGAGGCATATCGCGTCTTGCAGCCAGGTGGACGTTTTATGTGCTTGGAATTCAGCCATTTAACCAATGACACACTACAGTGGCTTTACGATCAGTACTCGTTTCAAGTGATCCCGCCAATGGGCCAAATTTTAGCCGGTCAATGGCAGCCCTATCAGTATCTGGTAGAGAGTATTAGGCAATTTCCGAAGCAAGAGGATTTCAAGCAAATGATTGAAGATGCTGGCTTTGAAATGGTGCAATATGAAAATCTCACATTCGGCATTGTGAGCATACACTCGGGTTTTAAGCTATAAATTTTTATATTTGATACACATGCCAGGGCGTAAATAAGTTAAAAAACATAATATTAGTGGCAGCTAATTTACAGAATAAATGGCGTTTTTTAAATATATACAGGTAAATATTCAATTTCATAATATTAACCTGCGCAAGAGACATAGGCCACCGCTACAACAACAACGGCGTTGGTCCACCATGTAGCAACTTTCCCACGTATTTTATTTTACATAAAGGAGCTATACAACCAAATACGTTTGTGGTTCCCATACCAATTCGAAATTGCATTTAAAAGCGGGCATAAAACGAAATTAAAATACAATTTTAAAGCAGTGTACATTGATGTTGGAATATATTTTGCAATTCTTAAGCGTTAAACATTTTTATCAAAACCCATATCATAAGCCTCAAAAATCTTTGATTTCAATTCGTTGCACGTATGCTAATTGTTTAGACGAGCTCTAATACATATACTTCTTTATGCATGAAATTATAAACTTCATAAAATAATTTTTATTTCCTGGAAGCACTAGGCATTTACATACATATATTTACAAAAAAAAAAATTGTGTGGCCATTTGAGAAGTTGGAAATATCTATGTACATAATTGCATTCATTCATATATGTATATACTTGAAATTGCTATCCCAAGAAAACAGGGATCATTACTGGAATTTGTAATAATTGCTCCCGTTTAAGGTGTTACGAAGATAAAACATATCGCTAGCTTAGAAAGAAAAGTTGCTAAGTCCCATTTTAAAAATTTTACAGGTGAGGAAAAAATCTTCCTATAGCCATTTTCTTTAACTATTTCGCAAGACTTTGAATCAAACATTTTGCGCGTTTAAAGCAAAGCAAAACTCCATAAGAATCAGAAGGATTCGATATATATTAAAGATGTCGTATTATTTTGGCCTTATCGGATTTGTGGTGCTTCTTTTGGACTTAGCAAATTTTCCTTTTATTGCTTATGAAGAGGAAAAAATAAAACAAGTACCTTTATAATTTTCGAAACGATGCGTATTCAATTTCTCTAGCCTCCTATATCAAAATATGAGTTTTCATAAAAAATGGACTTAGCAACTTTTCACTCTAAGCTAGCGAGTTGACTTTGCGTTCTAGAAGCATAAACTCCTCGAACTCGCGTAAACCTCGTAAATAAACCGGTTTCCATACAAAATTGCGTAAGTTTACGCAGCAGCGTTTTCATTAATTTTATTTTCTTGCGCAACCGTAAGTTAGTGCTTAGCAGTTTTCAAATATGCAACTCATCACACATACACCATGCACGACCATCATCGATGAAACGGGCATATCAATAAATTTTCTAAGTAATCATATAATTGGAGGCGTGCTTTAAATGGTAAACGCCACCCATGGAATGGATAGTTGCAGCTATGCAAATATTTATTTAGGAGCATGTACATTAGGGTGATCCAAAATAAGTAAAGTTGGAATTTTAATGCTCTCACCCCATAGGATTGTTCTATACCGAAAAAAAATATACCCCTATTTTTTATTTTAAAATCAAAAAATATTAAGAGGTCGCTCAAAGCGCTCAAAATTTTCCATGTATTTTATAAGGGGGAAACAAGTTTTCGTAGAGATGGTATAGAATTCTTGAAAATCAATATTTTTCGATCGAAAAACTCTGTTGCTCTTCAGTGGACCTCCAATATCATTATCCAATAGTTTATTTAACAATTTTTTAGTAAGAAAGATTTTTTATTTAACCCCCCATTACATTTTCTGGCATTTTCTAAGTGTTTTGGCGGAGTTACTATGAAAAAATGGTTAAATAAATAATTGGGTATTATTATTGGGAGTCTCCTGAAGAGAAATAGAGCTTTCCGATCGAAAAATATTTATTTTCAAAAATGCTATACCATTTCTACGAAAGTTTGAGCGACCTCTAAATATTGTTTATTTCAAAATAACAGAATAGGGGTATATTTTTTTCGGTATAGAACAATCCTAGGGGGTGGGACCATAAAAATTCCGATTTTACTTTTTCACATGCATTTTTGGACCACCCTAATGTATGTTCATACATATATGTAAGCGGTAGGTACATGTGGATATGATATGTATAATTTCTTGTAGGACAACCAAATAAAGGCGAAATTTTAGCTGTATAGCTTTGCGCTTTTTTGTACGCTGGTGTAATAATTAAAATTTGTGGCCACTTGCCTCTTGAAAAATCAAAACAATGGTTAATATGTAAATAAGAAAGATAAAAAATAACAACAACTGCCAATAGACTGAAGTTCATTTTAAGAAAGCCAAAAAAATGTGTTTTGAAAAATGCGTATAAGGTTCAGCTATTATTTCATTATTTTTAAATACGCTTTGTTGCTGTTGTTGTAGCGGCTGCGATTACTTGTATGGCCACCTTAATAGGTGTCATTTGTTTTAAATTAAAATTATTAGACGGTACTAGTTTTTATTCGGTTTGCCGGAGTTGCCAAACTTTGTTTTTGCAATTTTTTTTAATAATACAAAAGTGAAACATAATCATTCTTAAATATATGATTTTTTTATATTCTTTTTAATTTTTTTGTTAGCACACTTTTAAAACCTGATTAAAAGCATACTGCAATAAAGAACGTTCGGAAAGGCATCATCAAACAAATTTATCCTTACGATAACAGAATGACAAAAAAATTAATCATCTAGTGCACCCTGCGAATTTGCTAACCTGTGCATGCGCTGCCTTTTTATATATACATATTTTTTTAATTTTTGGTCCATTCAATATAAAAAAATTGATTCCAAAGTGTTACTATTACTTGCAAGTTTTCACTGGGTGGAAATGCGTTCAATAACCCAAAAAATTGGAACAGCGAGTGAATTCGAGAGCGTAAAAACATGAGAGAGCTACAAATTCTTGCAAGTAAAAATTTTACTAGCAGGAGTTCGCAGGTGTCAAAAAATATGGGTGAAGAATTAAAATCTAATGTATATTTTCTGATTTGTATGAAGACGGAAAATATTCGCCATCAAACAGAAAATTCACCCCTAAAACTTAACCATCAGAAAGTGTCAAAATGACGTAAGTTGCAAGTTTTTATTAGTTTTGCGTTCAATAACTTTCTGATATTTTTCCTCTCGCTCGAAAAGCACTTGTTGACACACTTTTTCTGGCACTTGTTGCACCCTGTGCTTGGCGCGCGCAGCATCTTTGCCTCGAGTGACATTTGGTGTTAGTATTTTTTTAATTTCCGCTCTATTTGGTTGAACGCATAGTTAACTTTTGTAAAATTTGTTAAATTTTTGCAGTGAAATTTTATGTTTAAATGAAAATGTATTCTAGTGCAAAGTTTAGTTTTGCATACAAGTAAAATTAGAAGCTAAAGTGTTGTGGAAAATGCAGCGCGAAAGGCACTGGCGATCAAGGCGTCCACCGAAGTGCAGAGGCGCTTTTTAACAGCAAAATGCCGACTTCCGGGGTAAGTGGAGTAGTTATTAGTAATCAAGGTTGTAAAAGAAGGTTTCGAATTATAATAAGTACTCTTCCGGCTTTTGGCAAATGTTTGCAAGCAAGTGGCGTCCTCTCGGTCAAGTAGGAGAAAGGAAATGTTAGGTTATGTAAGCATTAATTGGCTTGTGCTGCACATTCAGAAATAAATATATACATATGTACAAAACGTTACCCGCTAGCGCTGCACTTTGTAATAATAAGTAAGTAAGAAAGTCAAATATCGTTACCGTAATATAGAAAGGCCCTTTCTAACATTTTTGTTTCTTTACAAAGTAGTTTTAAAACTTTATACAAACTGAAGTTCTTTTGTTCAGTTTTTCCATTACACTGGTTTTTAACTAACCTAGAAACTAATTTTTTTAAGCAGTAGTTAATTTCAAATTCGATTAAGTATTTAGTGAGCAATCTACCGACTTTTGTGAAGTGCTGTATTGCAAAAGAAAATGAGTTAAGGCCTTTCCATATTAAGGTGTAAAAGTAAAATTGCGTTCGTTTCGCCACTCGCCAAATGTTGGCGAATCGATGGTGGCTTATGGTTGCATATTAGTAGTTCTTTTTTTACTAAAAACGAAATTGGTCCTTCTTTTGCTAAAAAAATCTCATTAAATCAACATATCGGCAAAACGTTCTTCTACAATTTTTTCCGTTTGAACATTTTTTCGTTTTTCGACAACCCTTCTGAAAATTGCATACTCACCGTATTTGTGAAAAATGCAAACACTTTAAAACACTATTAATTTGCTAAATGATCGAGGTGTGTGTCGTTTTAAGCTTTCACTAAGCCATATTAAAAAAAAAAATAACAACAACAACAACCACCAACATCGTAAACAAAGCTGCATATTTGCAACAATCAAATTCCGTAAAATCAAACTTTGAACATTAAAAAACCATCGATTTTATGATATACAACAAAACAAATTTGATGATATTGTTGTTACCATATTGGTTGCGCGTTAAATGCTTGTTTTTTTCCTCTCATACATGTTTTTAAAGTAGCTGCTGCTTGTTAATGGGCGTAACTGTGCGCGCGCGTACTCTTCTGTATGCAGACTTTTGTATTTATTTTGTCCGCGTATGCTTATAGAATTTTAATTGGCATTGGAAGCACACTGCCGGGTAGTACGCTATTTTGGTTACATATTTTTTTTTGTCTTTTTCAATGTTGCTTAGTGCTTTTTTTTGCGTTGGAATATAGCTTCTTTGGTTTTCGTGTGTAAATCAGCCAAATTTTTTGCCATTGTGTGGAAATATGTATGTACATACATATGCTTGCATGTACTTATCCATTTCGTTGCTGATATAATCCCAGCTGCGAACTGGAGCACAGGTGCTAGATGGGTTGTTTGGCAAGCGAGTCATCGCACTGAGTGCCCCAGATCTTGTCGCTGGCAAGCTGACGCAAGTTGACATCATTTTGGTTTAAATGAGATTTGACGAGTTTGGTATGCTTGGGGGTGAACATACAATTAGATTAAAGATAAAATAGTGTTTTGAGGAATGTGAGAAATTTATGTGGTGGTAGTGTTTATTTAAAGTTTTCTATTCAAATAAGATTTGAGATGGGAAGGTCTTTTTCGGAATGTCGGACTTTTGCGTAGCATTCGTAGTCTTGAATAATTACCGAAAAATGTGTGGGAAAATATAAAAAAAAGTTGAAGGCTTCCGCGTACTACTCGACAAACGTGTTCTTTTAGAAAACCTTTTTTTCTGTCGTTTTAATCTTAATAGCCCCAAGTCAAAGCAAGAGCTTATTGCTCCCCAAATATCAACGATACGGGTTCTTAGCTATACTTTTGGTACTATTATTTTTAAATAATTCCATTATTCTTCCAGAGCCCTTACATTTCATAGATTTAAACACTTTCCATTCTATAGGGGTTAAAAACTCAGCAGTGAAAATTAAGGCTTCAGAATTTCGGTCTTACTGAATTCCAGCAAGGCCTTCTCTTGCTATGTCCAATGCGATAGTGTTGTCAGCTTTTCATATCTAAAATATAAATGACCATATTTACGCAAAAAATGTGTGTGAAAACGTTTATAATTCATGCCGCTGTTAGTAATAAAAAATTGCGTATTCAATAAAAAAAAAAACGGAACAAAAACAATCGATAATACTGCGGTAATGCGCTCACTTTCGATTTCGAGCAGAGAATGTCAATCAAGGGCGAGACAGCAGCAGTGCAGCCACGACTACAAAGTAAAATATAGGCAGTGAAAAAGGCAAAGTAGTGTTAAAATAAAATAAATAAAAAGAAAAAAAACCAACATGAATATGTAGAGGAAGAAAAATGCAGCTTTGGGAGTCCAACGGCCTGCCGCTGGGTCCAAGTATTCATAAGTGAGTAACCGCGCGCGTACGTGTGGTGCATGAGTGATTCAGCGTGCGCTTGAACCCAGCTTGGACAGCTAAGGTGGCGACTAGCGTATTGGCTGATTGCCCAGCTAGGTTTTTTCTTGATAGCTCCGTGATTGAGACGCTTCGGCACATAGCGATTGGAATTTTACTAGTATTACATAGATTTCTGGCCAAAAAATGCAAATTACACGCACAACAACACACGCATATGCCTGCGCTGCGAACGTACGTGATCGATATGGTACCGATTGCAAAATGCCTTTCGAAGTTGGGAAGAGAAGTGTTGTAAGAAGGCCCGATACTCGCTGTTGATGCGTGGTAGCGAGTGCAGTACCGCTAATACATATATCTAAATACCGACTCGACGCATGCAATACGCGTGTGAGGCGCTCAACCACCAACCATCGCAATCGCACATCCGCTTTATAAATACACCATCTGCATAGGAAGTCCATTTTATTGTTGAACGAAACGCAGACGCGTACGCGTCGTGGTGCAGAGTACGCGCGTTAATACATTTTATTCGTGAAACTTTTGTGACGAAATTCGCCTAATAAATCAAACGGTTACACTAAAATTGGTCAGTGCGTGTTATATAATCACATTACATTGCGCCGAGCCATGAAAATGAAAGTGAAATTACTTATAGCTGTAACACTGCTAGCAGCAATCGCCTCTAGCAGCGCTGTGAAAGTGCGTCCTTTGGGAAAATATGGACAGAAACGCGCGGTTCAAAGTGAACAGAGAAGGGAATCACACAAAGCTGCAGAGAAAACTGACGACAGCATAGCAGAGGAAAAATCCCAGTCAGAGCTGCGGTCGCCGTTGGTAGCGTCAACTGAGTTGCAGCGCAAGGAGGACGTCGGTAAGGATGTACACAAGCGTGGCATCTACTACAACGGTGGCCTAGGATACGGCGCACAAGCTGCATATTGGCCAAAAACCTACGCTTCTCACTATGGTTACAACTTGAACTTGCCTGGTGCCACTGCGTTCTCCAATGTTGCAGCGCATGGACATGCTCATCAACCCGTGTACGCGCATGCGCCCAGCTTTGCTCACGCGCCTGTTTACGCTTCTCACGCGCCTGCCTATGCAACACACGCGCATGAGCCCATTTTTGTGAAATACCCCAGCGCTGGCGGTTTCCATCTTAAACACTTCGCCGTTGGACCGGCTGCATTCCCTGTCGCCAGCTATGGTGGTTCTGCAATAGGTCTGGACAACACTGCCATTGCCTTCGGACCAACTGCTGCTGTGCCAGCGCTTCCACCAACTGATGTAGCGACGTTGCCACACCCGCACCTGAGTTCATTCGCGCCAGCTGTGGGTGCTGCTGTAGCACCTGTGGCCCCCGCTATAGCACCCGTTGCCCATGCAAGTGCGCCAGTCAATCCCGCCTTCGCCTCTGCTGCTCCGGTCTCGCCATACGTTCTGCGCCCCGGCGGTGCTGTTGTCTCCTCCTACAACGTGAACTTTCCTCGGTTCTCGCAGAAACCCGTGTTTGCTGTGCCTCACGTGACACCCGTTCAGCCTGCGGTAGCTCACATACACCCAGTGCAACCTGTACAGCCAGCTGCAGTGCCAGTGCAACCCGTACAGCCGGTGCAGCCGGTTCAACCGCTTCATACTGTTGTGCAAGTACAACACACGACTCATCCCTTTGCATCTGTACAGCCCTTACATCACTTCCCTCATTATTTCCAGACGAGCTTTGTGCCGCCCCAGCGCATACCTGTTGCCGTGCCGGCAGCACCCGTACCTCCGATACCTTCCATCCCTGCCGTTCCTCTCACGCCTAGCTTCCCTGCCGTGCCTAGTTTCCCGCCAGCGGCAGCTTTGCCCGCAATACCCACCTTCCCTTCAGCGCCAGCCTTTCCTGCCATTCCCACAGTGCCTGCTGTTCCTGCTACGCCTGCTGTGCCCACCATACCTACTGGGAGCATACCAACGATTCCACCAACAGCCTCTGCGAACCCCAACCTGGTATTCCCTCTCGGCGTGCAACCTCCTTCGAGGCCTCAACAGACTCCGACCTTCGTAAGTATACCAGTGCAACCGGAGGCACAATTCCCACCACTTGTACCTTTGCCTGGCTCACAACGGCCGGAAACTGGTAGCGCGGAAGCAGCGCCACAAATTCCAAACATACCACCAGCGCCAGCACCGCTTCCCGAGCCCGAGCTGCCTGCGCAGGGCTCCCAGGAACCCTGGAAGCCAATACTGTCCTACGGGCCTCCCAGTGTGGATCGACCTGCGCTAACTTTACTGCCACCGTATGGCAGCTCACCGGGAGAGGGTAAGTAAAATGCCTGAAGGGTGTTTGGAGAGTTTTTAACATCTTGCATCTTTCGCTTACCCAGCTTACTTGCCACCAGCACGCTCACCGCAACAACAACAGTATCAGCAGCAGCAGCAACAGCAACAACAAGCGGGGCTCTTCGATAACCTGTCGGACTCGGAAATCGAGCACATTTTTGTACAAGCAGCCAACTTGGCTGCGCAACACGCGTCGCAACAGACCCGCCATCGTACATTCTCCAACTATTAGGAAGGGAAGTGAGTTTAGGATTAAGCGTAGTTAGGAATTATTATAATTGAATTCTACTACTTAAGTATTGCGGGATCGAAAAACGAAAACTTTCGGGCGGGGAGAAGAAAAACGGTGATGTTTGCCGAATTTCGTGGTGATTGTTAAGTGGAATTAATTTAAGTTGTCTCTTAAGTTATACATTTATTTATTCAAACAAATAAAATTGTAAGTAAAAATTAAACTGAACTACTGTGTCTAAAATATCGATAGAAATATGGCTTTTTATTTGTAGAAGCAAAAAAATTAGTCAAAGAATGAATGGCGCATATTTATAGTCGAATGAAGTCAACTCTAAAGATAGTTATAGATTTTTTGACCGATATTCCCTAGAAAATTATGTCAAAAGGCTGCAACTGACTTTAGAGTCGACTTTATGTTGACTATGAATATGCACCAATGAGTTTCAAATAAGTGAAAGTGAAATTCTCATCGGGCTTAAGAAAAAATTACTATTAAATAGGAATAATCTACAACCAAATTAAGGTCGTTACAACCAAAATCGCAAGCTTATGAACTGAACGTTTAAAGCGCAATTGTAACTGGAATTGAAATATCAACCCTGGTTGGCATTTAATAAACGTTCTTCGATTTCAAATTTCAAATAGAACGCCTCAAATCTTCCTGGGGCAAAAGCTCAATACCAGAGCTTTTTATTAAAGCACTACCAGCAGAGAACGTGGTGGATGCCAAAGCTTTTTCATTCATAAATTTTCGTTGAAATGCCGGCACGAATTCTGCTGGTGCCGAATTTGTTTCGTTTTGCCGCCATAATTCCGACGCCGACGTTCTGCGTGCTTCGGCGTTTGCGCCTGTCGGCTGTCGGCTTGCGCTTTGTTTTTGTTTGATTTGTTTTGTTTTCGCCTTCTTTTTGCTCCTTCATTTGTTGCACACACGCAGCGCCGCCGTCTGGGAGTGTGTAAAGATGCCTTTGTGGGCGACCAGACGTGGCTGCCTGGCTGGCTGCTGCTTGCAGCATTTCTTCAGTTGTCTACGATAAGCAGACGCGTATGGACGTGCCGCAAAGTATCTATGGAATTTAGAAAATCTGAGAATTTAATTGGAAATATTGTTAGTTGAATAAAAATTCGGAAGATGTGCTGAAATTTATTGGTAAAAAGAACGAAGAAGGTAGACAATTTTTAAATATGAATTGAAAATATTCGAGTTGTGTGTGGTAAAAAAAAATTGTTGATGATAAGAGTTGTAAACAAAAAATAAAATAAACATAGATCGAAAAAAGCAAACAAACTTTAAATAAAAAAATAAAAAAAATAAAATATAATTATAAATTTTAAATTTATAAAAAATTAAAATATTAAAAGATATTTCAATTATATAATTGATCGACATTTTCTGCGGACAATACATAATTACTACTTCTCAAAATAAAATATGTAAGAATAAAAAGTAAAAAAAAAAAACAAAATGTGTATCTGCAAGTTTTGAAAAGATAACAACCAACAACTTTTTTTGAGAATTCAATTTCAAGAGCAAAATAAATTAAAAAACAATTAAACAAATTTGGTTTTAATGTGGTTGAAATAAATTAAATGAAAAAAGAAAATTTAAAAAAAANGAAAAAAAAAAAATTTAAAAAAAAAAAAAAAAAATAAGATAACAATACAAAGATAAAAAAGAAAAAAAAATGCTAAATTTAAATTCAAGCTAAACGAAATTCTTTGAACTAAAAGGAACCTCCAAAACACTACCAGAAGCCCATAAAAGCAATTAGAAAAAAGTGAAAATATTTCGAAATTAAAAACTAATCAGAAAACAGCTCAAAGGCAAATGATTAGCTAAGTGTTTAAAAGCATTTACAGATACCGCCTGGCGCTTCGTTGGAATTTTTGACGTCAAAAGTGGATACTACGCTGCGCTTTCAAGGCTAATAATAGGTAAATAATTCCATTTACAATAACAAACAAAATACAACAAATCCCAAATTAAGTGACGTTTGTGGCATTCTACTTGGCAGCATTGTGGCATGTGGTTGCGCTGATAACAATCACAGCGCACAAAATGTTAAAATGAAATACTTACAGCTGAGCGCGCACGCACACTTGATATAGAAAACATAACTGTAAACATTTTTATGGTCGGAGGTCAATCAAGATTGCTTCGAACCGGGGTTGGGGAATTTAAAATGTCTCCCAGTTAAGTAAAAAAAAAAATATTAAACATTATTGTCGAAAAATGTACGCAGTCAGGTTCAAGCAATCTTTGCATACAAAATGTTTTAATTTCGGATATACATATACATATCTACATATTTATGTAAGAGCGTACCCAAAAGCAACAAAAAAAGTTCTGCGAAAGTTTAACTTTTTTGCTTATTTTTGCGTTGTTAATTTACTTTTTCTTTTTTTGTTTTCTAAACCACTGCCCTGGACTTTATTTGATGTCATTGTGACAGCCGTAGATTTCCGCTGAATTACCGGAGCGGTAGCTGGAAATTTTGTGTTATGATTTGTACATATGTACGTACATTGCTTGGTTGAATAAATATTGTGGTTTGGCTATTCGCGGATTTTTTATTTTGCTACAATAAAAAAGTCGCAAGGAAAATCAGATGTATAACGATTGATGAACAATTTTTTATAAATAGAATATTTTCGTTGGTTTTTTGGACGTTGAGGCGTTTTCATTCTTATTTATACAAATAAATCGACCGATAATTCCGAAGGAAGCCATCAAAGCTTCCTGTACAAATATATATTTTTGAAATACCTAGCTTTCGTGACTCCATGGCTGATTCATTTCTATCTCTCTCATTCTGAAACCTTCTTAAAAGGTGTTCGTCTCTGACCCTTTGATGCTTGTGGCCGCCGCTTCCACATGCCTGGAGTTTCTTGGAAGCTTTTCGCTTTTCTTTAAGAATAATTTCCTGATTAAAGTTTTTTTTTTTTTCAAACAGCGCGACGAGATGAGCTTTCACTTGAAAAATTTTAATAAATTCGATATTCAACTTTAAGAGCTTGAAGTGGCTTTCGCCTCAACTAGAAAAGCTCCCACTTTGTACAAGGAAGCCACGTTATCACATATTTGAGTTTCAATTTGCGGAAAAATAGAAAGAAATACTTATCTTTAGTATGGGTGTTTACGCGGTTACGAGGCATTTACGCATTTAGATAAATACTCATAGTATATGTATGTATATAAGGGTTGTCCAAAAACGCATGCGAAAAAGTAAAGTCGCAATTTTTATGCTCTTACCCCCTAGGATTGTTCTATACCGAAAAAATATGTGTTATATGGGAAAAAACAAATTTTCGTAGAAATTTCATGGAATTCTTGAAAATAAATATTTTTCTTTCAATTAATTATTTAACTATATTTTATAGGTCTGCCAAAACCCACAGAAAATGCCACAAATTAATTAAATAAACAATTAGATATTCTTAAAAAAAAAGAATATTGATTTTCAATAATTCTATACCATTTCTATGAAATATAGATTTTTTCCTATATAAAATACGTGGGCAACTTTGAGCGCGTTGAGCGACCTATAAATATTTTTTATTTTCAAAATATATGTACAACAATCCTGAGGAGTGAGAGCATTAAAATTCCGATTGTACTTATTTTGGCCCACCCTAATGTATATATATTTTAATTGAAAAGTCACTAGCAGCGCATGGAAGGGCTCTTAATACCAAAAAAATATTTAGTTTACAATTTTTTTAATATATTTTGACATCCACAAAGTTGTTTTGGGATTGAGTAGGGAAGCTTTCACACGGTAAGAGGCTTTAATATGATTCAGTGAAAAGCTTTCACCAGTAGGTACGAATTAGTTTGGTGAATAGGAAAAGTGAGGTATTCACACGATAAAGAGCTTTTGCATGAGCTTTTACCATTTTTTTTTTAAAGAAAATTGTTTAAAATAAAGTTGAATTTTAGCGGACAAGCAAGTAGGAAGAAAAGCTTTCGCTATAAGAAAAGCTAGCAGGCAATAAGGCCGGATTAATTTGCCAAACGTATATTCCAAAAGCCGCAATTTCTTGGTCGTTTATCGACTTTTCCTCATAAAAGCGCTATGTTGCAATGCAAGAATTTTCATCCAACAGGTGTTTACATGGAGCATTAATGGTGAAAGCTCTTCAAGCAAAATAAAATGAGCCTTTTCTAGGCTTTTGAATTATCCATTAAACAGTCAGTGAATTCGAAAGAAATTTTACACAAAATAAACCTTCATAAAAATCATTTATCATTTTGGAGAGGACGGAAAAGTACAGCACTCTTTGTATCATTTATCATTGTTGCGTGCATAAAATTACTTTTTTCTGAAAGAATTTTAGTTTGTCATTTGTCATATTATCAACTCCAATACAGCTACTCATTTGCGTCTGCTCGAAACCGCTACTTAATTTGCTTCGATGATTTTATTTTAGACAAACACACACAAATACACGCACGTGCAATACAAAAATCAAATCTATTTGCATTGCGGTTTTTGCTTGTGTGATTTAAGTAAATATATATTTACATACATACGTGTGCTTAGCATACATTGCGGCGCATTAGCATTTTACATGATGGTTTCTACGCCTTATATAATACGGTGGCGTATACATGAAAATCCATATGCTTGAGGAATTCAGCAACTCAAAGTCTTCTGTAAATAAGCGTTTATATATTTTCTTTGTGAATACATTCACAAGTATTTGTCAACTTCGTCTCGCCGGTTTTGAGCCAGATATTTGCATACATATTTATATTTTAAATCAATTTAATCAGTAAGAAAGTGCTCACACAGTCTAACAAGGAAATTGTATCTAAAGCGTGAGCTTATTTTGAAAAAATATAACCCCATGAATGAATAAATAAAAGAAGTTAATTTGAGAGAGTTAAAAGAGGCACACAAAAATTTAAAAGTAAAATTTAACCTTTCTATTTTTAACCGACTTAACAAAAAGGAGGAGTTTACCAATTCTTTTTTGTTTTTTTTTGTTTATGTATTATACCGCATAACTTTGGACCACGTTAACCAATTTATATAATTATTTTTTTAAAGGAGAGATGTTTTCTCACAGGTGGTCCCAAACTAATTTGGTTTAAATCCCATCATTGGATCATGAAGAAATTTAAAAAAAATCTTAAATTTTTTTATGAAAATTGAAACCGGTTTTGTTTTTTTGCTTAAAAATTACTTGTATCATATAACGAAGTTCTTCCAAAGGCAAAAAAATATAATTTTTTTTTTCGAAAGTTCAAATATTTACAATTTATCGGATGTGGCCAATTTATTATGCTTGTGTTTTCGTTATAAGGTTATATTTGGGGTTAACTAAAGAAATGTAATAAAAAATAAAAAAAAATAAACACAAAAAATACAAAACTTGGAAGTTTAAAAACCCGTAAAAGCAAAAACTTATATACATTTTTGGCTAAAATGTTTTTTATACTCTAAAACTCTAACTGATTTTGAAGTTGTGTGAAATTTTCAAGATGTTTTTTTTTTTTTAAAGATGTAAATGTTTGAACTTTGAAAAATTTTATTGCAAACTCTCAATTAAAAAGAATATACTTCTTTTTCATAGTTAAAAAATGTGTACCCTTAAAAATAAACTCCCTTCTGTAATATTTCAGGATCTTTCAAGATCAGCTGGAGGTGTTGTATAAAAAAATTGAGTCTAAAATGTTTATAAGTTTTTATTTTCACGTTGTTTTTAATTTAAAAATTCTGTTAAGTGTTTTATTTTTCGAATTTCACCATCGAAACGAGACTATAACCATTTTTGTAACCATAATCGTTTTTGAGATATTCAAAAAATAAACTTGCAAATGCTGGAAATTATCAAATTAAGAATTTTGCGTTACTTTCGAAAAAAAGTTTACTCTTTTTCTTTGGTAGAACTTTGTTATGTGATAAAAGCAGAGAGCGAAAATTTTTTATTGTGTTTCTCACTGACACAAACACAAATCTCTCAAGCAAAGAGTGTTGTTTCTCACCGTGCCAATTCTCTCTGTATTATCTTTTGGTGTTTTCTGTTGTGGGTTATTTATCAACTGCTTAAATTTCCCTTCTGCAAAGACGCTTTGGCAGGGACTTTTATTTTTAAGTGTCCTCGTTTTTGGGTTATTGAAAGACAGAAAAATATAAGTGGATGTACATAAGTGGAAGAAAAGCGTTAGGCATATCTTTACACGACATATACGTACACATTTATGCGAGCATTTATGACACAGAAGAATCATAACATGATACACTGAAAATAAGCTATTTAATTATATTATATTTTATTATATTAAGCATTTTTCGTACGTATATACCTGTGTAAGCTTTGCGAGATAGTCAGTCCTTTCTTTACCTTCAAACCATTCATGTCCAGTGACCAACCGCAGCGTTACTCTATTTTGGATTTCTAGGTATTTCAAGAGAGTTTTACAACTGCCCACAAGCCTGGATGAGTTCAAAGCCTTTAATGCTGCCCGACTATCCGACATTTCTGGCTTCATTCGTCCTTCTATCAGGACATTCTCGAACACAGACATCTGCCATTTCTTTACCCTCTATTCCTTTGTGGCCGAGCAACCAATAGACTTGCAGTTTTATGTTTGCGGCTAGCCTGTCAATGCCTTCCCAGCTGCGAAGGACATTATTTGATTAAAAAGTATATATGTTGGTAACTTCCTTGACTGAGTTGATTCACGATTCCGCGGAGTCTTGTTCTGTTGCTATCCTCATAACGAAAACCTCTGCTTGAAATATGTTGCGCTAGTCAGGTATCCTTACTGCCAACATGACGTTCAGCTCCCAGCAGTATATTCCAGCACCCACTCCCGCTACGATTTTAGAGCACTCTGCGAAGAATGTTGAGGTCTATACGGCAACGTTTCATTCCCTTGCGTCATCCCTCTTCCTCAATTGTTATGCGAAACCTTCGTTCCCAAT